AGTAGCTTCTAGCTACTGGTAGTAACGCCCTTGTTACTAGGAGAGAGAAGCTACTACTAGTAGTGCGATTTGTAGTAATGCCCTTGTTACTAGGAGAGAGGAGCTACTACTCGTAATGCGCTTTGCTACTAGTAGCTTCTAGCTACTGGTAGTAAGTTACTAGGAGAGAGGAACTACTACTAGTAATGCACTTTGCTACCAGTAGCTTCTAGCTACTGGTAGTATCGCCCTTGTTACTAGGAGAGAGGAGCTACTACTAGTATGCGCACTTTGCTACTGGGAGAGAGGAACTAATACTAGTAATGCGCTTTGCTCCTAGTAGCAGCGCCCTTGTTGTTAGGAGAGGGGAGCTACTACTAGTAATGCTCTTTGCTACCAGTGGCTTCTAGCTGCTGGTAGAATGCCCTTGTTACTAGGAGAGGGAGCTACTAGTAGTAATGCACTTTGCTACTAGTAGCTTCTTGTTCCTAGTAGTGCTGCCCTTGTTACTTGGAGAGAGGAGCTACTAACTAATGCCCTTTGCTACTAGTAGCTTCTTGTTCCTGGTAGTAATGCCATTGTTACTAGGAGAGAGGAGCTACTGTACTACTAGTAATGCCCTTTGCTACTAGTAACTTCTAGTTCCTAGTAGCCATGCCCTTGTTACTAGTAGTTTCTAGCCATATTGTCGTATGGTTCCTCTGTTTGGCTCAGGGCCTTTGGCCGATCAGAGTATGAACGCCCTTGTAACCCTCTGTAGTCCTTTGATGCATTTCAATCGTTTCGGGCTGGCAGGATCGTCAACTTGTTAGCCCATGTTCCCCCAAAATCAGCGTACCTCCAGCGATTGATTCACAGCACCTCATCCACAAGAAAAGAAATGCGTTTCGAGACATTCAAGAGACTTTAACCACAGCAAATGGAGGCCACAAGTTGCCAAGTTGAGCACTGGAAGCAGATTCCAATTCCTGTACCATCAAAGGATTTGATAAACACACATATGCACACCCTGTAAAATCAATCTGTTTAATGTCTTTTTCTGGCCACATTCAGATGATGCAAAAGCAAAAAATATATTCTTGCGTCACCACCCGCTCCAAAAGCGTCAAAGCATCACCTCCCAGAGTTTACGTATATCTTTCTCGGGCCACCCCCCTCAGACGCCCAACCTACTCACTTCGTTCGCCAAGCGCAACTCAGCTTTGAGGTGGCCTGAACATAGTGTTTGAGGGCAGCAAACCCCTGGTCCCAGGCCACCTCGAAGTTTGCACGAAAACCCTTCTACTTAAACGAATGCACTTCGTCAGGTGATCGAATCTGGAAGCCTTGAAGCCTTGTCAGATATACACCCAACAACCCTCGCTTCACATATCTTCATTTTTGAGGTGGCCTGAACATGGTGTTTTAGGGCAGCAAACCCCTTGCCCCAGGCCACCTTGCATTTAGCTTGATAAACATTCGCGCGCGCGGACCCAACATCGACCTTGTTGTAGCGATAAGATCTTTTTAGGCGCGGCCTCTTGGCCATGTACAGGCATCACCCGAGGCCTCCAACCATATCCTCTAAACTGTAGCTACCCAGGGTCCGTCTAAATGCTATTGCGCTATACCTCTGCGCCGCTGTCTTCTGTGCTATCCCTCTATTCTCCGCGCCCTGGGAGCTACCGCTGCACAATCTCTGTGTCTCTTTACACAAAATGCCAGGTTACACAGAAAGACGGGCTTGCGATCAAACATCCTATGATCCAGTGCTCCAATGATGTTGCACTTTTTCCTCTCCAGTCTCATTAGTGCTCTAAACGTGGGTATGTCGGAAGCATAACACAATAGCATTTATACGGACCCCAGGTAACTACAATTCAGTTGCATGGTATAACACTTCCATGGTATAAATGCATATAGCGTTTATAATTGCTCTCCTTCTGAAAGATGTTATTCACTCACAACTGCACGAAGCTATAACACATCGGCCTCTGTACAACGACACCGTACCATTCAGATGATGCAAATGATGCAAATTGCATTTCTTGCATCACCACCCGCTCAAACATCACAAAGAATCACCTCCAAACCAACCTCAAAAACCTTCCGTCGCTGCACCCTCCTCCCCAGACCCCCTTACCTACTCACTTCGTTCGCCAAGCGCAACTCAGCTGGCGCCTTCTACGAAGGCCGGCTTTCGTAACAAATACTCTAGAATGTATGTTTGTTTGCTCATGTATGGCTGGGACGCATGACCCCCACATTGGCCTGGCGAAAAACACCATGCCCACGGCTGTCAACGAAGAACCTGAGAGCATGCACTGCCAAAGTATCGCTCGAACTTTCAATTTGCAATTGAGCACAAAAAGTTGTTCCAATTGGGAAGGCCGCATCGTGCTTTCATCATGTGAATCATGTGTGTTGTATGCACCTCCACGGTCCTTTAGCAACTCGCCGGCAAGAACTGAACAAAGAGATGACCACGTCCGTTGACCACTGCTTGTATATGCTCTGAGTTTCCCACACCATAAACAATTGAAGCGTCACCTGCGACGTCCCGCAAAACAGTGAAATGAGCGAAATGAGTGTGGGCCGCTCAGTGACCGCTACTCAGTAGCGGCTACTGCTGCCAAATGGCATGGCCAACTATGCATCCAGGAACCTGCATGAAAGCATGGCAGCCAGTGATTCAAGTGCAGCTGGATCCGTTCAACGAAGATTCTGCTTTGTCTTCTTGCGCCGTGCGCGAATAACACTTTTACGCAAGTGCCATGCAAGCGCCATGCTTTGCATCGAGGCCAGACGAGTTGTGACATGGCCTATGCGCCAGCAATTTTTTTGAAACCAACATCATCGTCACCATCTCCACCGCGACCACGGTCCCCACCACCACCGCGATCAGTCACTACCGTCACCGCCACCATCATCACCTCCATCAACATCACCACCACCACCACCATCATCGCCACCGTGATCAACATCATTATCACCACCATCAACATCATCATCACCACCGTCAACATGATCATCACCACCGTCACTCTCACCATCAACAACATCATCACCACCATCAACATCATCATGGCCACCGTCACCACCATCATCACCATCACTACCATCACCAGCACCATCTTCACCGCCACCATCACCACCTCCATCACCACCATCAACATCACCGTCGTTAGCGCCACCATCACCATCACCGCTCTCTGGAGCCCAGTGCGTCTAGATCTAGACCTTCTGTAACTACACCTCTAGACCTTACAACTTTAGACGCACATGGACATGTCTGTCCTGCCCCACGGTTCCGGGATGTCCAGAACCCTGCCCAAACAGCCTTTCTACGACGCTGGGCCAAGATGATTCCCGCCCTTTGCCTCCCCTTGTCTCCCATGGCGTGTCTGGATGCTGGGCTGAGATGATTTTGCTTTGTCTCCCTTTGTCTCCCGTGGCATGTCTGGATGCTGGGCTGAGATGATTTTGCTTTGTCTCCCTTTGTCTCCCATGGCATGTCTGGATGCTGAGCTGAGATGATTTTGCTTTGTCTCCCTTGTCTCCCATGGCATGTCTGGATGCTGGGCTGAGATGATTTTGCTTTGTCTCCCTTTCCCTCCCATCACGTGTCTGGATGCTGGGCTGAGATGATTTTGCTTAGTCTCCCTTTGTCTGGATGCTGGGTTGAAATGATTTTGCTTTGTCTCCCTTCGTCTCCCATGGCGTGTCTGGGCTGAGATCTCCCTTTGTCATTTGTCGTCTGGATGCTGGGCTGGGATCACTTTGCTTTGTCTCTCCTTGTCTCCCCCTGTCTTGGCGCTGGGCTGAGATGATTTTGCTTTGTTTCCTTTGTCTACCTTTGTCTCCCCTTGTCTCCCTTTGCCTTTTCTTGTCTCCCCTTGCTTCCCCTTGCCCCCCTTGCCTCCCATGACATGTCTGGATGCTGGGCTGAGATGATTTTGCTTTGTCTCCCTTTGTTTCCCATGCCATGTCTGGATGATGGGCTGAGATGATTTTGCTTTGTTTTGATGTTGACTTGAGAATTTCGACTGTATATACGTCATATAGCTCCGACTGCCGCTGCTGTTTGGGGTCGATGCTGGTGTAATTATATATTCAAACGATCTTTTGGCACATGGGTGGTCCGTGTTGGTTTTCAGCAAGTTTCAATCTGGTTTGTTTCAGCCTTTATTTAAAGAAGCTCTTCTGGCTCTTTTCCTTACAGCTACGCTGCTCTAGCGCCAACTGATGTGGAGCAGGGCGCTGCTGTGACGGCCGCCTCTCTTGGAATAGAAAACTCCATTTGCCGCAGGCGGGGTGGCAAATGACAGGGCATTCCCTTCCCTTGTCCTATTGTTATTGGCGAGCGTTGATCAAGTCCGGGATGAGGTGCAGAGCGGCTCCCTTGAGATAGATGCTGGGTTGAAAAGAAAAGCAGGAGAAAAATTCGTCAACATGTGTGTGCTTGCTGTTTAGGAGGCTTCACTCGCAGCTTCATCTTACCAGTCTTACCATGTCCACCTTTTGCTTGATTTGGATCTCCCTAACTTGTCAGGACATACCGGTTTTGTCAGCGTTCATCGGAGGATTGGGTCCTGGCCTCTTCATGGCTGAGCAAATGTTGGGCAAAGAGCGTGCGGAACTTGGAGATCCAGTCTGCGCGCCTCGCAAAATAAATAGACTCTCCCGTGGGCCCTTGGACTCATTGGACATGCGCGAACAGATTGAGTCGGAAAGAAACTGGCCACCTCCCCTCCGGTGATGGAGATTAATTACCTTTGGATGCATGTAAATGAAATCAAACGACGTCTAAAGCTTAGGAACCGTCAAGAACGGCTTGGACCAAAAACATGGAACCCATCTGCCTCCTTGCTACTATATAACATTACATGTGTACATCTCTGCTATCTAGAGTGCTTCTCAGACTGCGCTCTGTGCACTCTCTCTTTTCACAAGCACTCTCTGCGGTTATGGTCTCTGTGCGTCACCTTGACGTTGTTGCGACAAAGTGTGAGCAGTGATCATGGCGACACATCCATTCCTGGATGAAGCTTAGATACCCATCTATGGAGACCCGTCCACCAAGACGTATCCATAGCGATGTATCTACCCAATGCATTTCTCAACGCACTTTAAAGATAGAGACCGACTCGCAGAGTGGCCGGAAATGGAAAATACCAGAGTGGTTCGAAGAAAGTGGCCACGCGACTAGTGAAACCCGGGTCGTGGTGCCATCTATCCGCGTGTCCTTCGCGGGAAATCGCATCACTCCAATTGCTCTTGGAGGGGATCCACTCAAAGTAAATCCAGCAGCGGAGCGAAAACAAAAGGATATGAATCATGTGACTCATATGTTCAAGGTCAGGACTATCAGATCTGCCTTTGATGAGCGCCGTCAAGGCAGCTGTGTTATCTATATACCATGTGCCGCGGCGATTACGGAATCGCTCAGGGGTGGTAGTCAAGGCAATGAGCACTTGCATCAGCTCAAGCTGTGCTATTTTGGCATCTCCCGGAGTCCATAAGTTGTGTTGTGTGATACAAAGCCGAGCCTGATCTCCATAGATTCCTGGAAGACAATCAGAAGGAAAACCCCCCGTGCCTTCTCCCACTGACTCCAGGGCAGCATCAGATGCCGCGACAAACCGTTCGCGGTGTCGTGGCCATACATCAAGCTCCCACTCTGCGCTCTGATGAATGGAGATCACAGCTTCGAGAATCTGGAAGCACTGCTCGATAGCAGGTGTGAGTTGGTCGCCGCGGACGAGTTGACGTTCTTTGATGGCATGGAGGCCCCCACATCCAATTCTTCCGTAGACTCCCGGTTCAAAGAAATTGGTCAGGCCATACAGCTTTGCTGCAACACCTGGTTTGAGGGTTTGAGCTTTGCGACAATCTTGTATGATGGTCATCAACTTGGTTTCCAGGCGTTCCCTCGCCCAAAAAGAAACGTATCCGCCAGACAGGGTTGCAGAAAGGTCATGGTCCAAGCCAAGAAAAAAGCCTTTGTTGCTCATAGCCTGGCGCTTCTCTTCAGCAAATGGTGTCCCCAGAAGCTGGTTGACACTGGGCCGACCCTCGGCTCGAAGACCAATCTTGTATGGAGGCATCATCGAAATACAAAGAGACCAGGACATAGCAAAGTCGACGACCAAGGGCTTCAACGAGCCTGCTGTACCGATTGAACGAGGTCACGGCAAGAGGGAGGCCGAACAGGAGGCCGGCATAAACCTGAAAAGCCGGAGTGGCCCATTGCCATTCGTGATGCCAAAAAGTCACGATGCAACCCCGCGTCTCGAAGACCGCCATGGGGCTATGGCGATATGCATCTGGCCAGTCTTCGCCCCCTGATTCCCAGGTGTCTGTGGCACGGGCTCGTGCCAGCTCAGGGGCACTCATGTTGCGGAGCACCTGACTGATGTGCTGTGCCGGCCGTAGTGGAGAGCAAAGTACGAGCTTGTTGGCATCAGCGGACCGCAGAGTTTGTCCTCCAGCATCGGCATTGTCGATGACGCGTTGCTTACCTGAAGATTGAGTAATCACACAACGTGGAATAAGCCTGTAGGGTTGTCCTTGCAGCTGTTGACGCAATTGAGGCAGATTCAACGGAGGTGTACAGAACCCACGAGCTGCATCCTTCGTGGACTGCTCAAGAAGGAATTTCCCAGGCTTCAGCGTGGACAAGATTTGGAAGTTGTGCTCCTCCCATCCGGACAACACGTCAGCCAAGGTGATACGGTCGGCTGGCTGTGAAGGAAAAATGCCATAGCATGGTGCATAGCCCACTGCTGGGAGGCCTTCGATCAACCCGAACGGGTATGTAATATCAGGCCAGGAGGTCAACAAGATCAACAGGGCTACAAAGCCGAGGTCGCGAGTAGCGGTGGTAGCCTGCAAAGCAACCGGTTCGAACTGTCGCAAGCGCCGCCCCAGATCGCATCCACGACCAATGGCTTGAGCAAAGTGTTCATCTGGGCTGAGGTCGTATGACAGCAATGGAGGCAGCGCCGCCCGCTGGTTCAAGGCGCCCACTGGCCCTCAGCAGTACGAAGGGTCTGACGGACTTGAGCATCAGCAAGATGGGGTCCCAATATAGGCCCGATCGCGTAACCACATGGGGAACGCAGTGAAGGGGGCTGCATTGATGATGTCCTCAACCATTGGAAACCGAAAGTTCTCAAAGAAGTGTGCTGGGTACAACTTGCGGAAGGCGAGCGTGAGCGATTCTTGGCTCCACCAGCGTGTTGGCACCGCTGGGATGCCTTCCGCCACGACTGAAGCGATGCATGGTCTGCTGACCACAAGGGTGCCCTGCCTCAAAGCATAGACCGGCCAGGGCGTCAGCTTCACAAGGGTCGCAGAAGGGACAGTCACAGACGAGCATGGAGCTCATGAATGTCGGCCACAAGGTTGGAGTCGTACAGGTGTGCCACATAGTGCCACAACCAATCGTTAGATTGACTATATTCAATCCGGGTATGACTGGGGATGCCCACTTGGTCTTGGCCAACCGATGGGAACCTCGACCTTGACCCACATAGATATGGTTAGGTGGCAAGCGTCCTCGTTCGAGCATGACATCATCCACTTGAGCTCGCCGAGGGATGCGGGCGGGTTCGCGAGGGTCAGGCGGAGAAAGGCCTAGCCCGAGGGCCAACGGCGCCATAGCCCACTCTCGCAAGGCTCGGGGATCGAGGTCCAGCCATTGTTCACGAGCGCCGACACACTCAAATTGTGGCAATCGAGGGGCCTGCAATTTGGCGCGGCCCACGCGCGCAGCCCACCAAGAGGCGGCAACTGCGATGGCGAAGGCCAAGACGGCCGTGTATTCGGCTTCCTCCTTGGAGGGGTAGACTGTACGTCCGCCCTGCAGGTAGGGTGTCCACTCTTGAGGCGAATGAGAGTGATGGCAATTCAACGGAGTCCATCATAGATGCCTCGGTGGACCCCCAATGAAGGCTGCGCCATGGGTTCTCCCGGACGGACCCTCCGCCCCGATCGTACAGCAGCCGGATCTCCTCCAAGATGAATTCACATGCCTGGTTGTCAGTGGTGACGCGTTGGAGATCCCGCCCTTGAAGTGAAGGTAGGCCATCAGGGAATTGTTCCGACCGTAATGGAAAAGTCCGGGAAATTTCACGTGCCCGAATTTTCGTGGAACAATTGAAGGCCGCACAGATGAAGTCCACATCTGCCAGCTGATCGTGCAGCGATTGCTGTCGAAGCGGATTGGAGAGGTCATGGGACTCATCCAACATCCAATCACGGACAAGGTGCGCCACCCGCACCAGAGAAAGGCCTTGGACTTCCCCCTCGTCACACCCCGAGGGCTGTTGACAAGCGCCGCAAAGGCGGCATCCGGCATGGAGACTGCCGACCGCTGAGCACTGTCCCGAATCTTGGTGGCTGACACAGCCGCTACACGCGCCCTGGAGAACTGGAGATGGGTCTTCAGCGATTCTCTGGTGGGCTGGGCGGCATAAAGCGTCTCCTTGTCCCTCGCTATAGACAAGGCAAGCTTCTCTTTGGCCGTCTCTCGAAACCCATCCAAGTCGGAAGGTTGCACCCCCTCCCAAAAGCTGTGACCCTCACAGCTGTGGGCCACTGAAGTAGCCAGGATCTTGTTGCGAAGGGATTGCGCATATCGGCCGACGAGTAGTGGAGGGCCATCCCGGCATCTGCCGGTTCCTTTGACCGGTCTTGCCAATCGCCCAGGGAGCAAAGATCTGAAGACTGCATCTGCAACATGTGACCCACGGTCGGGAGCATCCTCCTCCAAGAGTAGGTGGTCAGCTGCTCGGGATTGTCCAGGAACTCGGAGAAGATCGACTGGCACATATGCTGGACCTCAGCGATATTCCAAGGCGTCCCACACCTATCGAAGCAGATGCCAGAGCTCTTCTGGGCCACGGGGTAGGGTCTTCCACTCCTTGAGCCACTCGGAGGTATTGAACCCGGAGGCAAACTCCGCCGGCGCACACCAATCAAAGCCACTACGAGCGTGCCGCTGTTTGCCCTTGCGGCAATGGCCATGGAAAACCATCAAACTAGCCCGGCGAATCGTCGAACGACGAAGGTGTTGGTACCTCAAGCAGCCAGTTGCCACCAACCATGATCCCAACAGGCATGTCCACCGCGGGCCCCCCCCCATGGGACATACTCAATGCGCTCTTCCAACAACTGCAGCATGCCAGGCTCCACAACAAGGGCTTGGCTCTTGGTCGAAGTTGCCTTTCTTCTTGAGCTCAGGGGTGATGCGGAGCCTACCAATGTCCCATGGAGCAGCTGTGTGCTTGCATAGCCAGCGTATCGAGTTGAGCGCACGAGTGGGAGCCATCGTCCCCTGATGCAAGAAGGTGTCCAAGTCCACGAAGGGCGGGGGGAAAGACCGCCCCCGGTGGAGAAGGAAGGCGTGCAACTCGCCATAGGTGCGAAGGGCATTCTGGATCGTGACCGTCTCAGACTCCGCGACTTTGGTCTGTGCCAGGCGAAGAACGGAGGCCTGCCATGCAGTCTTGCTTCAAAGCCTCAGTCATCAATCCAGCTGGCTTCAGTGCTCCAACCGTCAAGAACACCTTCTGTAGGGCGAGCACCTGGCGCTGAATGGATTCTGAGCTCGCTCATGGACGCGAACACCCGCCTCAAGTGGAACTTCCTTACGCTT